CAGATGCCGAAGAAATATAAGAAAATTCACTTTCGCAAACAGAGTGGTAGACGGTTGGAACAAGTTAGGGGAGAAGGTGGTGGAGGCCAAGACCGTCAGTAGTTTCAAAGCGTTATATGACAAATAGTGCGGGGAAGACGAGACATCACAAGCGTAGCTCTCATCCTGTAACTACACTTAGGGAATTACACTTAGGTAATTACACTACTCCCTACTCAGAGCCAAACAAAGGCCACGAATACCCCAACTGGCTCAAAGAGTGAGGTAAATGCTGAACAGCAAGAACCCCCATGGGAGTGAGGTCCCGAAGGCCCCAGGGATCATAACCCTAGAACCCAAATGGTAGTACTTACAGGGTGCTTAGGGAAGGTAGCCCTAAGCGCATCCAGCCCAGTTGACTACGTTACTCCTGGCCACCGCACCACAAACAGCAGGCAACACCACAAGGGCACAAATTCCGGCAGGAAACTGATGCCAGAGCTGACACCCGCCCCAAACAGCTTCAGCCTACGAACTGAAGAGTGGGCGGCCAGCGTTGGGGTCCGGGGCATCCCCCTCCCCTCCTGGGGAGGAGAGCTGCACGAACAAGCTGCACGGACAGGCGGTGCGGCAGTGGTTAATGATGTTTGCTCGTTTCCTTGTTTTCTTTTGGGGGAGTTCTGTTTCTCTGTTCAGTCTTGGGTTTGCAATTTCCAACCAAGTGGGGTTTGTTTTTGGACACCTATCTTTCTGTGTGCCTAACCCCGGTCGATGGCAGACATGGAATACTCCCAGATACAGGGAAGTTCCCTTAGGCCATTTTTCCTTGCACCTCTCTGAGGGGGGCCAGGTTCTGGCTCGAGGTCCCCGGTAGGCAGAACTCCACTGACTGAAACCCCAGACTAATACAAGATAATATCAGTCCGATAGCTCCAGGCAGCCAAAGGGGCTCCCCACAGAAATAATTGTACAGTATAGCTGATGTCACTGATGCTGCTTTTACTGGCAGTCAGTTCATGCCAAAATAAAGGCATATAACATAAGTTTCTGTAATATATGAACATTTCTGTATCCTGTGTTTAAAAAAAAAAAAAAAAAAAAAAAAGAGTACTGTATCATGATTGAAAACTGCATCTATATGACCCAGTATGTGACAAACACAGTTGCCTGGAGTGGATTCTGGGATTAGTTTACTCCCCAAGCCCAGCCTGGGGCCATGTTTCATGTGCGATAACTTGGTTTATCAACCTGTTGCCTGGAGTGGCTCGCATGCCCACATATCCACAACAGCCCAGTTGGAGAGATACTTCCTGCAAGAAAGTGTCTAATTTTCACTTGAACGCTTCTACTTTTGTATCGGCAATATCTCTTCTGTCTGCCGAGAGGATGTAGAATTGCCGTAGACCTCTAGATGTTCCTCCCATGCTGCCACACATCTCTACTCTACAACACATTTCACTATAGTTATCCTATTTGTGCAACAAATACTCCACACTTCCGTGTTTAGTGTGTTGAGCATCAAAACATGCCAGTAAACCCGTTTTATAAAATTATGCATTATGGCAGTGAATAATTTAATTACAGAATTTCTCTAACAATGTATATATTTTCTTAATGCCTAAATTAGATGTGGAAAGAAAACTCTTATATTAGAATTAAGAAAACAAAATAATACTTAAGCTACAAAGAGCTTTTCTCAGGAACCATGCACCAAATGTAAATATTCAGCCACAAAAATAAGCACACTAGGATATAACCCTAACTGATACATGATCCAAGGAATGCACAATACAAAGTGATTTGGTTTATACTGGGTATAGATATATGGAATATGGAATTCAATATTTATAAAGAAATGCAAGGTGCCAGTAGCATAGGCACTCAGTATAGAGTGGAGGAAGAGCTTGGACATGGAGGAGATAACAGATGCGCTTACAGCAGCAGACATAGCCCCTCTACACAAGGGTGGGAGCAAAGCATTGCCAAAGAATTATAGACCAGTTGCACTAATGTCCCCACATAGTAAAATTATTTGAGAGTGAGATCAGGAGTCAGGTCACAGTTTCATGGAGACCATTGACCTCCACATCCCAGGCCAACATGAATTTAGAGCAGGAAGATCATGCCTCTCACAGCTACTTGACCACTACGACAAAGTCACTGTGGTATTAGAAGAAAAACAGAATGCAGATGTGGTATACACGGACTTCGCAAAGGCATTTGACAAATGTGACCATGGAGTGATAGCACACAAATTGAGGTCAATAGGAATAACTGGTAAAGTTGGATGCTGGATACTCAGTTTTCTGTTGAACAGAACACAAAGAGTAACAGTCAACTATATAAAATAGAGTCCAAGCGCAGTTAAAAGCTCTGTACCCCAAGTTACAGTCCTTGCACCAATGCTTTTACTTATTCTCATAACAGATATAGACTCAAATACAAGGCACAGCTTCGTATCATCGTTTGCAGATGACAAAAATCAGCATGAAAATTACCTGTCGATGACATTGAAAAACTACAGGCAGAAATTAATAGTTTTCGACTGGGCAGAAGAAAATAACATGGTGTTTAACACTATCGCCAGCGCCACGCGCACCACAGACTTTGACGTCATGGGGCCAATGGTGCGCGCGAGCGTGCGGCGACGCCTAAATGTGTATACTCGTTTCAGTTTTCTAACCTTAATTCTTGTGCTACGTCGTTCGTTTTGGTATCATTTTGGCATATTTTAGCTGCAATAGGGTAGGGAAGTGTGGCAAAAAAGGGGTGTTGACAGAGCCTTCGCCAGACGAGGTCTACTCCGCCAGAGCTGTCAGACGGCAGTTGCCACAAATATATTATTACCTAGTTATTTCAATGTCTCTGATTGATTTTTTCTTAATTTTTTTGCAGTAATATTATTCCATACAGTGAATTGTGGTATATATATATAATAAAATGTGTGAACCATCGCTGTACTCAAAATTATGGTGTGCATATTAGTGATTCAATTATTATGTTCATAAAACAATAAACAAATAGTTTTGCTGTTGTTACACTATATACACAGGTTATATATAAGTATTTGCATGTTTTGTACACCATAACGAACTACTAAGTTGGTCTTGCGAGTCAAAAAGCAACGAGGAGTGACCGCCAAACACCAGCGAACCACTCACTGCCACTCCCTCCCTCAACAACACCTCACTCGCCCTCATTCTCCTCCCACAATACTGTTTTTGCATTTATTCACTATACACAGACGTTATATATACGTATTTACATGTTTTGTTCACCATAACTGTACATCTAAGCTAATATGGTGAGTAAAGGCACAAAGACGTAGCTACTCACACAGTCAGCTGATCGGCGGCCGCCCTCAAGGCCAGACGCACTAATATTTGTCCTCCAACAATATTGTTTGTGGTGCTATTACGCTATATACACACATTATATATAAGTATCTACCTGTTTTATTCACCATACCTGTACAAATAAGCTGGTATGGTGCCCAAAGACCATAGTGGCCATCAGTAAACAACATGCCAAGTCGTGTAGACGACGCTCCTCCCTCACCAAAATGGCGGCTCCCAACCTCCTACTCTCGCTGTTATCTCACACTATACACACGTTATATATAAGTATCTACATTTGTGTTCACCATAGCGAACCACTAAGCTGGTATGGTGAGTGCAGTCAATAAATGGTGGCCACACACAGTCAGAAGACGACGCTACAACCACAGCCTTACTCCTCCCTCCATGGAGCACAGCGCTAAATATCACTACAATCCTGCTGTTATCAGAATCCTGGTCAGTTTTATCACAGTCAGGGGGCTTCAGTAATACTATCACGGCTAAATAATAGCAGTATCATATATATTATGGCATTTGTAGGCGATGCTGTGGTCACAAGCTGAATAGCGGTCCTGTGAGCTCATGCTGTGTGCGCCAGCCTTGGTGGCTTGCTCAATACTGACGCTCTAATACCCAAGAATGTTGGCCTGGATTTTTTTTCTAGGTGGCATCTGGCAACTATCGGTCGTGGCTGTACTATAGCTGCCCCAATCCCAGGCGGGGCGTTTAAATTATAGCGCTAGACACGAAATCATATATACTGTATATATGATGTGCGCGTTTTCGGTTTTGTCACTGATATCATATATATATGATTTGCGCAGTTTAAGGGTTAAGGAGGATAACCAAGTAATTATTGCGGCAGCCAGAAAAATGATAGGATGGATTACGAGAACTTTCAAATCCAGAGATCCATCACAATGGATGCACTATACAAACCACTTGTGCTGTCCTGTCTTGAGTACTGCTAAGTACTCACTTCCCCCTTCAGAGCAGGAGAGATTGCTGAAATAAGAGGGAGTACACAGAACATATACGGCATACATAGACGCGATAAAGCACCCAAATTATTGGAATCATCTCAAAGCTCTCCAAATATACTCACTAGAAAAAGAGACGAGAGAGATATAAAATAATATACATGTGGAAAATACTGGAGGGCCAGGTCCCAAATCTACACAGTAAAATAACAACGTACTGGTGTGAACAATATGGAAGAAAAGGCAGAACAGAAACAGTGAAGAGCAGAGGTGCCATAGGCACAATCAGAGAACACTGTATAAACATCAGAGGTCCACGGTTGTTCAACATCCTCTCAGCAAATATAAGAAATATTGCCGGAAGAATTGTGGACATCTTAAGAGAAAACTAGATCATTTTCTTCAAAAAGTGGCAGACCAACCAGGCTGTGGTGGATATGTGGGCCTGCTGGCCGCTCCAAGCAACAGCTTGGCGGACCAATGTCTCACAAGTCAAGCCTGGCCTCAGGCTGGGCTTGGGGAGTAGAAGAACTTCCCAGAATCCCATCAAGCAAGCAGATCCAAAAATGCTGCAGGAAAAAGCACATGATCTCTACTATAAATACAGTACAGTACTGTACTTTAATCAATCCTCAATAAAGAGTCCATAAAACATTACTGTACTTATTTTCATATTAGTAAAATAGAGGCACTATATACTTACTGGACCAGATTCCCTGCTTAGCAAAGTAAATGTTGCAGGCGCCGTTCCAGAAGTAGAAGCAGCCTTGCAGGACGAAGCAGCTCATTGCACACAGCATTATGAGGTAACCAATAAAGTACTTGAGGTTGTTGGCTCCTGAAAGCAAGCAAGAAAATTGGTCCACAAGCAATTTCCAAAAAATGTGACATATCAGGGCTTAACCAAGATGCTGGTAGCTATAACGTGTATAGGAAACTGACATGATGTAACAACTACGGTAGTAAAGCCTTCCTCCAACATGTTACGTGGCTCTCTCTCTAAAAATATGGTCATGTGAAATATGGGAGACATGTGAAGTTTGGCTCACTCACCTGCCTGGCCACTTATTCTCTGTCTCTTGGACATTCACTCACTCACTCACTCACTCGGCCATTCACTCATTTACTCGGCCAATCCCTCACTTGGCTACTTGCTCACTCATCTTTAAATTTGTTCTCAAAGAACAAACCTTCATATGAGTACAAGGTGATTAAAACAATGGTTAAAGCCCTTTACACATTATTGCTGATCAAAATATATAAACAGAAAATAGTAGTTTTACCTATACAGTTTCCAACCCAAGGACAATGGTGGTCAAACTTAGCAATGCATCTATTGCACACGGAACAGTGTTTTGAGCGTATTGGACGCCGCACCAGACACGTAGAACAAAACCACTGAGGATCAAAGCCATCTCTTTCTGCCAACTCAATTATAGTCTGAAACAAGACCATAAGTTACATTAGTTCACCTGCCCAAAACGCTATGCGTGTTAGTGGCTTTGCAAGAATGTAAAACTACCAATCTTACGTAATCTCACCAACCCATTGTACCTTCTTGTGAATAAAGATTATTATTATTATTATTATTATTATTATTATAGTAACTAACAATTACGAACAAAAACAAGTTCAAATACAATAAATCATCACATTTAAGACCATTTGAACAAAAACAACCTTACAACTAAATTGGATTGTCATATCACAACTTATTACATAAATATATACATAAATCTCCAGTCATGTACAATCAGTCACCTAATGCAATAGTAATGACCCATATACTGACCCAGATGTCAGTTGTAAACAATTTCTTTATTATTTCACCACTGATGAATTAAAGAGATTCTGAAAGTTGAAAGCACAGTGCGAGAAAGCTTCTCACATTATATTCTTCAAGTGGTCTTCAGGTGATAGGTTTGAATGCAGAACCACCCTTCGATCTCTGTATCAGAATTCTTTAAAGCTTTTCATATAATTTATAGGTTTGTGGGTGTGTGGGCCTTTTATCTCCTATTCACAGGCAATAAGTCACAATAACGTGGCTGAAGTATGTTGACCAGACCACACACTAGAAGGTGAAGGAAAGACGACGTTTCCGTCCGTCCTGGACCATTCTCAAGTCGATTGTGAGATTGGTCGACACAATCGACTTGAGAATGGCCCACGACGGACCGAAACGTTGTCGCCCCTTCACTTTCTAGTGTGTGGTCTGGTCAACATCTCCTATTCCACATTCCATAATGTAACGTTTATTCACATTAAATTCCATTTGACAAGTGTTGCTCCACTTATTTTGTCCAGGTCTTCTTGAAGGGCATGGCAACCATATAAGTTTTTTATCTTGTCTAGTATCTTAGCATCATCAGCAAACAAGTTCATATAATTTAGTGTTCATTCTGGTAGATCATTTATGTAGATAGTGAACATTACCGGTGCAAGAACTGAACCCTGTGGTATTCCACTCATAACACTTCTCCAGTCTGATACATTGCCTCGGATTACTGCCTTCATTTCTTTTGTCAGAAAATTTGTCATATCCCTGTCCGCCTGTCACCCATCCAAGAACATCCATCCACGTGTCGAGTCTGCCTCTCTCCCATCGAAGAACATGTGTCGAGTCTGCCCGCAAATATAGTACTTGAATGCCCTCTCTGCATGTCACCCATCCAAGAACATGTGTCGAGACTGCCTCTCTTCCATCCAAGAACATGTGTCGAGTCTGCCTGCAAATATAGTACTTGATTGCCCTCTCTGCATGTCACCCATCCAAGAACATGTGTCGAGACTGCCTCTCTTCCATCCAAGAACATGTGTCGAGTCTGCCTGTAAATATAGTACTTGATTGCCCTCTCTGCATGTCACCCACCCAAGAACATGCACTGTGTCTGCCTGCAAATATAGTACTTGAATGCCCTCTCTGCATGTCACCCACCCAAGAACATGCACTGTGTCTGCCTGTAAATATAGTACTTGAAGACATCACTGGTTGCCTACCTGGTACTTCTGGGCCTGGTCAGCGGTGATGACTCCGGGGTCTCCTCTCCAAGCTCTCATGAAGTTGTACCAGAGCAGCAGTGAAGAAACAAGGAAGAAGCCTGTTGCTTTAAGTCCAGAGTACACATGAATGTACAAAACCCAGGTAACATAACACCAAAACTGAAATACAATATACAGTGAGTCATATACCACTATATGAAATACAACAACAACACTATTGTTTACAGACAATAAACCTCTTAATGAAAAATATCCACTTAAATCATTCCAGGATTATTTAAATTATTTTGCACATCCTGTCATGCCTTCTGGTCTCATGTGATGTTATTTCTGTGTGCAGGTTTGGGACCAGTCTCTCTAATATCTTCCACGTTTAGATCATTATGTATCTCTCCCACCTGCGCTCTAGCGAGTACCAATTTAGAACTATTATTCGGTCCTAATAATTAAGAATAATTAAGATATTATTCGGTCTTAATAATTAATAAGAAGACTTACTGAGTGGGTTCTAGCTGTAAAGTCTTTACATGCTCTCTAGGTCAGTAATTTCTCCTGTATAGACCATTTGGAACCAACTATCAGGGTCTATTTTCAAACGATTTAGACAAGGAAATTTAGAAACGGGAAATTTAACTCAATCATTGAGAGATTAGTATAAAATGAGGCAAGAATGAATGAAACGCTCAGCACCCCACAGTGGTCAGTGCAGTCGGGGCCAGAACCAAGAGGTGCAAGTTCGATTCCTGCAGCAGTTCAGAGGTTAGGCATGTTTCCTTTCACCTGATGCTGCTGTTCACCTAGCAGTAAACAGGTACTTGGGATTTTGGCAACTCGTGTGAGTGTGGTAGGGAGCCGGTCGGCCGAGCGGACAGCACGCTGGACTTGTGATCCTGTGGTCCTGGGTTCGATCCCAGGCGCCGGCGAGAAACATTGGGCAGAGTTTCTTTCACCCTATGCCCCTGTTACCTAGCAGTAAAATAGGTACCTGGGTGTTAGTCAGCTGTCACGGGCTGCTTCCTGGGGGTGGAGGCCTGGTCAAGGACCGGGCCGTGGGGACACTAAAAAGCCCCGAAATCATCTCAAGATAACCTCAAGATAGAGTGACATTGTAAAGGTGGTCAGTAGCGGGACTTGGGAGACATCACTAAACCTGACACTGGAAAGCCATCTTGAGATAATTTCGGGGCTTTAGTGTCCCCGCGGCCTGGTCCTCGACCAGGCCTCCACCCCCAGGAAGCAGCTTGTGACAGCTAACACCCAGGTACCTATTTTACTGCTAGGTAACAGGGGCATAGGGTGAAAGAAACTCTGCCCACTGTTTCTCGCTGGTGCCCGGGATCGAACCCGGGACCACAGGATCACAAGTCCAGTGTGCTGTCCGCTCGGCCGACAGGCTCCCGACCGACCATAACCAGCTTGATATACCAAAATAAAGTACAGGTATTTCTTGGACTACTAATTAACCCTCACTCAAACTTAACCATGCCACAACCAGGTGGCAGCACCTGTTACCACAATAGTGTTGGCAAGGCCACAAACCCCAACACTGGGTCGGGCCTAAACCCATCGAGGGTTTATGCCTAGGCCTAATAGTGCACTAAAAGTTCATTTGTTTAACAAGACTTTCCTGGACACAACTTACTGCTGCAAGTTTCCAGGATTCAACCCTTACACTGCTATATTCGCTATTTGTGATTACCTCCTGTAAACAGGTCACCATATAAGATTTTTCCTACTTGATTTGTCAACTAATTTTGGTTACGAGCATAATGAAGAAGTATTTTTAAATAGATGAGCAGTCCGAGAGTTAATCCCTCACATCCCCTCGAGATGACTTTCATAGCCTGAGCTGTGCTACCAACACTTATTACTTGACCTGCCAATTAGAGCATATTCGGTACTACAAAATCTGATTTTCTAATGTGATCTAAATGTTAGTGGTGTTTTTTAATATATTTGGTTACATGAGTTGATGACTTCTGATTCTTGTTAGAAGATTTGGAGCGTTCCCTTCCCATAGCTCATCTTAAACCTTCTACTATTTTCCATTTGGAACATGACCCACGCCTATCTGTTTAAAACCAGGTCCCCAATTATTGCTGGGTAAATAGGGGCAAACAGTTAAGGATTGTTACCTAGTCAATCCTCCCTGGCCAGGGCTCAAACCTAGATTAAATTGCTGGCAAGGTGCATACCAAGTGTGCTACCAGTAAGCCATAGGTGTGATTACAGTACAATCTTGATTTAACGAACTACACGGAACCAACCCAAATTCGTTAAAACCGGAGATGCCTCCACGATGTATTTCCCATGACCTATGGGACGATTTCACTGAGTGAAATTATAATTTCAACCTGTCATATGAGAGGTAACAACCAAGACAGCCTCTGTAAAAGTTTTAACCACATCTAGCATAGTTCCCACACTCAAGCCTTCAAAATCTCCTTTTTAAAGGAAAGAAGGCCCATATTTTAAGGAACATAAACCTCTGCAACCGGATAAAAAAAAAAGAACCGTAGAATTTTCTTTTAAATATGCTCAGTAACTTTCTCAAGGCCCCCCAACTATTTCTTGTAATATTGCCTCCAACCGTTAACATTGTCATTACGTCCTAAGTAAATCCACAGATCCAACCAAAGAGCCAAAGCTCAACCCCTGCAAGCACAACTAGGTGAGTACATCCCTTGCTTCAGCGAACTTTTGTTTGTCAAATCAGGTGAGTAAATCTGGCATGGAAAGTGTGTGTCCTAACCGAAGATTTGCCAAATCGAGGTTCGTTGAATCGAGATTCCACTGTAATTACTTAAGTGTAGTTACAGGATGAGAGCTACGCCCGTGGTGTCCTGTCTCCCCAGCACTCTGTCATATACCGCTTGGAAATTACTAATGGTTTTGGCCTCCACCACCTTCTCACCTAACTTGTTCCAACTGTCTACCACTCTGGTTTACAAAAGTGAATTTTCTTATATTTCTCCGGCAGCTTTGTTTCATTAGTTTAAATTTATGAATTCTTGTTTTTGAAGTACCAGGTCTCAGGAATTCTATCCTATCAATTTTATCGATACCTGTTACTATTTTGTACGTAGTGATCATATCACTTCTTTTTTTCTATCTTATAGTTTTTGCATATTTACCACTTTCCCTATCTCGTGACACATAATGCGTCACAAACTTTTCTGCTACCTTGTTTTATCTTGTAACATCATTTGCGTGCAATAATAAAATATGTGTGTAAAATTCAATTTTTATCCAATTGACTTTGGGGTAGTTTCAAAATGAGCGCCTTTAAATTGCGCACAATTTGATATCAAAATGAAAGATGTAACATGAAACTTGATGTCAGAACACTTGAAAGATTATAAATATATTTTTTGCAAAATTTTAAAATATTGGTTAAAATTCTATTTAATGTGCTATTATTATGGGATTAGTTTTATAATGCGCACCTTTTAATTGTGAACAATTTGATACCAAAATGAAAGACGTAACAGGAAAATTGATGTTATCAAACTGAACGAGTATAGACATTTGGCCACTGTGTGGAAATTGATGCTCGTTCACGGGTAACTTTAGGCTTTGCCGTGGGGAGTCACTCGGGGATTTTGGACATTTTATGCATATACACCTGCAGGGAATTTAATTGTGAACACAACGATACCAAAACGAATGACGTAGCACGAGAATTAGGGTGAGAAAACTGAAATGAGTATACACATTTTACCGATTTTGTGCGCTCACGGGTAACTTTTGCCGACTTTTGGCTTGGCTGTGGGGAGTCATGCCAGGCTTTTTGGACATAACATGCACATGCACCTGTAGGGAATTCTATTGCGAACACAATGATACCCAAACAAACGACGTAGCATGAGAATTAAGGTGAGAAAACTGAAACGAGGATACACATTTCGGTGTCGCCAAGCGCTAACCCGCACGAAGGGAGAGTGACCTCTCAGTTTGCGGTGCGCATGCCGGGATAGCAAAAGTGTTAATACCTCTAACCTCTTCTCGTAGCTCTTGTCCTTCAGTTCTGGGAGCCACTTGGTGGCATGTCGTTGCACCTTTTCCAGTTTGTTGATGTGCTTCTTAACACACTCCAGCCTACTGCAGGCACACTGCTAACTTAGAGGTCGCGCCTCTGGCGTGCGGGCGGGCGAGCGGCGACACCGAAATGTGTATACTCGTTTCAGTTTTCTCACCTTAATTCTTGTGCTATGTCGCTCGTTTTGCTATCATTATGTTCACAATAGAATTCCCTACAGGTGTATATGCATATAATGTCCACAAACCCGGCGTGACTCCCCCTTAGCAAAGCCTAAAGTTACCCGTGAACGAGCACCAATCATCACACCCGCAACCTAATGTGTATACTCGTTCAGTTTGATAACATCAATTTTCATGTTACGTTGCTTGTTTTGGTATCAAATTGTTCACAATATGAAGGCGCATATTTGAGAACTAGTCCTATAATAATAAAGCAATACTGTAACTGGAATTTTAACAAATATTTAAATTTTGGACACTCATCACAAAATTATTTATATCTTTCCAGTGTTCTGACAAAAATTTTCGTATTACATCTTTCATTTTGGTATCAAACTGTGCGCACTCTAAAGGCGTTCATTTTGGAACTAGCCCGAAGTCGATCGGATAATAAATGAATTTTATACAAATATTTTTGAATTGGATGCGAGCACTGTCCGACGCTCGGACACAAGAGAAAAAAATCCGACATGAGGGGTGTCCAAAGAGTGCGATAGATATTACATCAACATTACCATTAAATTTGTTCTCATAAGTTGAGGATGGAATTGGCTTTAACAACCTCTTCTTTCAATGCATTCCACTTGCCAACAACCCACACAGGGAGCGAGAACTTCCTTACATCTCTATAACTGTGTCCAGCTTCCATTAATGTCCCCTTATCCTACCTCCTTTTAATATAAATAGGCTCCTTTATACACTGTCTATTTCCTGTAGGATCTTGTATGTGGTGATCATATCTCCCATATCTTCTCTTCTCTAAGGTTGCGAGGATGAATACCCTCACCCTGTCCTCATAGCTGAACCCTCTAAATTATGGCACTAACTGAGCTGTAAATCTGGTGCAAAAGTTATGTACATTGAGTGTTACGTTATGTACAAGTTAAGTTAAAAGTTACGTACATAGGGAGCCGGTCGGCCGAGCGGACAGCACGCTGGACTTGTGGTCCTGGGTTCGATCCCAGGCGCTGGCGAGAAACAATGAGCAGAGTTTCTTTCACCCTATGCTCCTGTTACCTAGCAGTAAAATAGGTACCTGGGTGTTAGTCAGCTGTCACGGGCTGCTTCCTGGGGGTGGAGGCCTGGTCGAGGACCGGGCCGCGGGGACACTAAAGCCCCGAAATCATCTCAAGATAACCTCAAGATAGATCGGTGAATGAAATGTAGAGAACTGTGCCCGTGTTGTTAAATTCAAGGAAATTTGCTGCCTCATGCCACTAAATCTGATTAAAATTGCATCACTGATTTTTATTGATGGTGGTGTTAATGGTGATAATATGGCAGTTTTGATAATAGCAGTGGTGGTGCAGGTTGAAGAAACTTTGTCCACCAGGTTAATGTCGCTACGCTTACAAAATGTTCATGGAGAAATAGGACGGAAAACTAAATACATATTTTGTTCAGCTATTGATAAAATATGCTGAACCAAAATCATTTCTGACTGGCATACCCAAATTCAGTGGAAGCCCCCTTGCATGAGGTTATCTTGAGATGATTTCGGGGCTTTTTTAGTGTCCCCGCAGCCCGGTCCTCGACCAGGCCTCCACCCCCAGGAAGCAGCCCGTGACAGCTGACTAACACCCAGGTACCTAATTTACTGCTAGGCAACAGGGGCATAGGGTGAAAGAAACTCTGCCCATTGTTTCTCGCCGGCGCCTGGGATCGAACCCAGGACCACAGGATCACAAGTCCCGCGTGCTGTCCGCTCGGCCGACCAGCTCCCCACTATATATGAGGCACTATCTCCCTAGCAGTCTCTGGTACTACACTCACTACCTACCACCTTTTCCTTCACCTGGGCTCTAGGAGACTCGAGCCACGGACCTCGCGTGCGTAGGGCCACAGAAGGCCTCACACTATGAGGCACTGCCAGGGAGATAGTGCCTCATGCAAGGGGCTTTAAGAACAAGAGGTCATAGATATAAACTAGCTAAATACAGATGCCGAAGAAATATAAGAAAATTCACTTTCGCAAACAGAGTGGTAGACGGTTGGAACAAGTTAGGTGAGAAGGTGGTGGAGGCCAAGACCATCAGTAGTTTCAAAGCGTTATATGACAAAGAGTGCTGGGAAGACGGGACACCACGAGCGTAGCTCTCATCCTGTAACTACACTTAGGTAATTACACTTAGGTAATTACTACAACTTGAGGCAATTACAGCTTGGCAACAGTAGTTGCTTCTGGAATCTTTCCTTATTAAGCCTCCTCACAGCTCAGTCGATAGAGCTTCGGCCTCACATGCGTGGGGTACGCAGTTTTTGAGTTTTCTAGAACCCAGGTGAATGTTTATTTCCAGGGAAGTGTGGATGACAATTTACCTACCACCTGTTGGAAAGCAAGCTAGGGGCCAGATTCACGAACCAGTTACGCAAGAACTTAAGAACGTGTACATCTTTTCTCAATCTTTGGTGGCTTTGCTTACATTTATTAAACAGTTTACAAGCATGAAAACTTCCCAATCAACTGTTGTTATTGCTATAAACAGCCTCCTGGTGCTTCGGAGCTCATTAACTGTCTAATAATTGTAAACAAAGCTGTCAAAGATTGAGAAAAGATGTACACATTCGTAAGTACTTGCGTAAATGCTTCGTGAATCTGGCCCTAGGTCCCCAAGGGAGTACATTGTGTGCAAGATAAGTGTCTAAGGATCAGAAACTCATATTGGTAATGACAGTGTGGCACCTGAGCATCATTGACTGTTTCTCACACTACCACACTCCAGAAATGTTAAAATAAGCTAATCAGTGATATCCATGTATGTACTTTACCTAAATAAACATTTGATTTGATTTGATTTGATTTGATTTGACATGTAAATAGTTTATGTAAAATGAGTATAATATTCAATAACTAGACTTTCAATAACAATTATTGATAATCCTGCACCGGCATTTCACTCAAACCTCCAAAATGAAGAGCGTCACAAAGACGCAGCCTTTCGGAGGAAGTGGAACGAGAAATGTAAACATACTGATAATGTATAAATACAAACTCTCATCTCTAAACCCACATCTTTGCTCATCTCTAGTTAAATTTATCATAAAATATTTGTGGTGCATCGTCTCTCTCTTGTGTAACTCAAACTATTAATGAAAATTGAATTAAATATTAATGACAACACCAAACGCAAGATATATTGAACTTACCTTAGTAGCTAGATAAACTGCCATTGGCATAACGGTCATGAGTCGTTCGTCAAATAGAATTCTGGAGATTCCATAGACTACAATATATAACGCGGTGAAAAGTCCCAGCTTCAGAACATAATAAAGATTTAATTTCAAGATGAGGCCAATCACATAAAAAACGAGAAACGGAGTTCCCATCATAGTCCAGTATCGAAGACTCTGTTGAAGTAAAGCAACACTTTCTTTATGAATTGCAAAATTAAAACTAAGTCTAAGATGACAATTAAATGAAAGACAATAACCTCAAATTACTGCACTAAGTTCTTGTGCTTTTTCTCTTTTGTTTTTGCATGTGATGTAATACACCGTGGCCAACTAGCAAGACTGCAGCAAGTGTGTATTTTCTGGCATACAAGATCCATCTAAAACACAAAAGATATCCTTGTGGGAAAAAATAATTTAAGGATGTTTCATCATACATTTATTGGATTTATTATTTATTTTCAAGTGCTTTTGAAGGGTAAAAATCCATATGATCTGGTCCGTGTGAATACAATATATATCAGGATGACATGGGCCAAAAACATGTCCTATCCACTAGTTAATATAGTACTAGTATATATATCAAGTATTACTATCCTCACACAATTCAACACCACACACCTGTACACTGACTGCCACCTAAACCCCCATGCCATATTATTTTCTCTCTCTCTCACCTGCATTGAATTAACCTTACACTCTTCATCCTTACTAAATGCCCAAACCATCTACTTCCACTCCCTATTACACACCTGTATTCATTTTGCAACACGACATACCCTCTAGATGTTCTTAAATACAACTTACTGTCCGCTAATTGAATATTCGCTCAGTATATTCCACTTTATATCGCTTCAAAGTTTATCCTAAGCTCATTCTAAATGTATGAAAGATGCAGACATTTCTATCCTACCTCTCGTCACGTCAACGCCACCTGCCACTCTCTCGTCACGTCAACGCCACCTGCCACTCTCTCGTCACGTCAACGCCACCTGCCACTCTCTCGTCACGTCAACGCCACCTACCACTCTCTCGTCACGTCAACGCCACCTGCAACTCTCTCGTCACGTCAACGCCACCTGCCACTCTCTCGTCACGTCAACGCCACCTGCAACTCTCTCGTCACGTCAACGCCACCTGCAACTCTCTCGTCACGTCAACGCCACCTGCCACTCTCTCGTCACGTCAACACCACCTGCCACTCTCTCGTCACGTCAACGCCACCTGCCACTCTCTCATCACGTCAACGCCACCTGCCACTCTCTCGTCACGTCAACGCCACCTGCAACTCTCTCGTCACGTCAACGCCACCTGCAACTCTCTCGTCACGTCAACGCCACCTGCAACTCTCTCGTCACGTCAACGCCACCTGCCACTCTCTCGTCACGTCAACGCCACCTGCAATGCTCTCGTCACGTCAACGCCACCTGCAACGCTCTCGTCACGTCAACGCCACCTGCAACTCTCTCATCACGTCAACGCCACCTGCCACTCTCTCGTCACGTCAACGCCACCTGCCACTCTCTCGTCACGTCAACGCCACCTGCCACTCTCTCGTCACGTCAACACCACCTGCCACTCTCTCGTCACGTCAACGCCACCTGCAACTCTCTCGTCACGTCAACACCACCTGCCACGCTCTCGTCACGTCAACGCCACCTGCAACTCTCTCGTCACGTCAACGCCACCTGCAACTCTCTCGTCACGTCAACGCCACCTGCCACGCTGTCGTCATGTCAACGCCACCTGCAACTCTCTCGTCACGTCAACGCCACCTGCAACTCTCTCGTCACGTCAACACCACCTGCCACTCTCTCGACATGTCAACGCCACCTGCAACTCTCTCGTCACGTCAACGCCACCTGCAACTCTCTCGTCACGTCAACGCCACCTGCCACGCTCTCGTCACGTCAACGCCACCTGCAACTCTCTCGTCACGTCAACGCCACCTGCCACGCTGTCGTCATGTCAACGCCACCTGCAACTCTCTCGTCACGTCAACGCCACCTGCAACTCTCTCGTCACGTCAACGCCACCTGCCACGCTCTCGTCATGTCAACGCCACCTGCCACGCTCTCGTCATGTCAACACCACCTGCCACACTCACCATGTCAACACCACCTGCCACACTCACCACATCAACACCACCACCTATTCTCATCATGCCAACATCACCTGCCCCCACACACTCATCACTTGTTAGGTCACTTATTAATGACCACCCACTTTCTGTAATATTAAACTACAGTATTTGTATAGCCCTTCTTGCTTATATAATGTTCTTTCTTTAATGTTCTCTATTGCCAACTTCTCCCAGGCCCCAGTACAGTAATCCAATACAGTGCAACTTCATTTCAATGAACTATATGGCACCAACCCCAATTCATTGCAGTGAAGGATTTGTTGCAACTGGAGATGGGCTCCAGGATATTTGTAAACAAAAACTGGGAAATCTCAAAATGGAAACTAACCACAGAATTTGGTTTTAAATGTGCTCATGGCTTTCCCAAGGCCCCAACTCATTCTTCTAACATTGTGCTCTTCTACGAAAATCATTGAAATGTGACTGGAGCCATATTAACTGTTACCATTCATACCGTAATATTTCACATGCTCTATGGGCTGATTTCACTAAAGAATTCTTTCATTTTTAACCTATGATATGATGGGCAAGTTTTCCACCAGCTGGTGAACTCTGTCCCAACATCCTAAGAAAATCTGCACATCGCCTGCTTGAGAGAACAAGAGTTTGTGAATAAATTCGACCTGAAAAGTGCACGTTCCAACTGGAGATTCACCGCATTGAGGTTCCCTGAATTGAGGTTCCACTTTAGATTAGACATTTATTGGTTCTTTAAGTACTACTCCATCTTTCACGTATCACTTCCGAATATGACACTAAGCTATCATCTAGATTTTTGGCAATTACATATTTTTCACAATGGTTTTTGTTCACTACTCTTGCACATTCCTGTATCTGTGATATTATGGTCCATTCTCGACCCTTATCAAATTGTTACATGTCCCAACTTGATAAGGGTCCAGGATGGACCAAAATATTGGTACTCACTTAATTTCACATAGGGGGGTATTGAGTCAAGGCACTACGGGCTCACCCTAAGCCCGGCCTGAGGCCAGGCTTGACTTGTGAGAGTATGGTCCACCAGGCTGTTGCTTGGAGCGGCCCGCAGGCCCACATACCCATCACACCCCGGTTGGTCCGGCACTCCTTGAAGAAAACAGTCTAGTTTTCTCTTGAAGTTGTCCACGGTTATTCCAGCAATATTTCTGATGCTCGCTGGTAGGAACAACTGCGGATGTCCAAACACCTTAAAAGACGCAGACGGGCCACGACGACCCGGGTAAGGTGTGTGAACACGCAAGGTGCCAAGTTCAACCCAAACCGGAAATAACGAAAACGGTAACCCTGGAGCCCCACAACAAAACCGAGCCAGTCCCTGAACCCTGGATGAATCGGGACATGCCAATAAGCGTCCCAGAGGTCCAGGGACACCATTCAAGAGCCCAGTACCAACAGGAGCCAAACCTGGGAAAGCGTAGTCATCCGGAAGGAGGGGCCATGAATTCCGGGGTTCAGTCGGGACAAGTCCAGAATGAACTGCAGGTCCGCACAGTACCGTTTCGGTACTGGGAACAGACAGGAAACCCATCTGAGGGACGTCATCGTTTCGACCACGTCCAAGCAAACCCACTCCAAGATAACTTGACAGAGTGCAGGGAAAGAAGCCTGCCCCGAACCCCCTGAAGGAAGAGGGGCCACCCAACGCCACCTCAGGCCGAAGGAAACGACTCAAAATGCCCACAAATTGTGCGACCAGGCGTGAGCGAAAAGCGCAAGCCTCCCCTCACAGCTCCGTCAATAAGGAAAACTGCGAAAGAGCCGGCGCCCCTTATGAAACCCCGAACCTTGCACAGAGCGAACACTGTGCTGACCAGACAGTGCTGACCAGACGAAGACCGGTCCGAAGTTTGGGCCGGCCCCGAAACTGGCACCAGGGGCCTACCTTGACGAGAGGAACACCAAGCCCTGGCACGACCCCTCCGGGAAGGCCCCACCCCCTGGGACCTCCGGAGAACCAACAAGTCAGACATAGGATGACAACTATCCGAAGCAGGCTGCAAATACTGCGCCACGGCAGAATTAGCAAAAAGCAGAGGACATCCTAAGAGCCAGGGGCCCAGGCAGGTTCCAAGGAGGAGACAAGCACCGCTCGCTACCACGCGAGCCGGGAAGCATAAAACAGTGAAACCGCATCCCGCAAGATCGAGCTTCAACAAGGCAGACGACGAGCGAGCCGCCAAGCCCAAGGCAGCAGACCCAGGAACGGACCCAAACATCCCGACATCCTTCTCAAGCCAGTCCGAAGACAGCTCCAGAAGGGAAAAAAAATGCAAGGCCAAAGCCAAGAGGCCACGGGCGCACAAGTCCTAAGCATCCTGCGCAGCCGAAAGGGAAGGAACTTGCACATGGAGCTGCAAGACGCCAACATCCCAGGAAAGGGCAGGGGCAAACAAGCTCTCATTGAGGTGCTCAAGGTCGTCCCCCAGGAAAACTTGAACCACAGTTGAAGCCTCGCGGCACTCAAGCGTGCGGGAATGTCAGAAGGAATGCCCAGCCTCCAAAGCAAACACAGGACAATCCTCCAGCCAGGACGAATCTGGAACTTCGTAACGGACCCAGAAGGGGAACGATGTCTCAAACCTGAAAGATGGAGGATCCATAACAGAGGCATAATGCAGGTCACAGAGGCATATTCCAGGTCCAGGAACACCATGAGTGTAGCTCTCATTCTGTAACTACACTACACTAGTTAATTACAGGAGATAAGCCGCAAGGGCCGCCCGCACCGCAGAAGGTTGGATGCGAGAAGCCGAAAACCTCCGGAAAGATGGAACCAACGCACCCAGGGGAACACGGAACCGACCCCGGGAAGGGGCAGACACCAAATCCAACTCATACGCAGAAGGGGGAAAAGAAAACCCCACTCCTTTTAACAGTAAGCCCCACTCAGAGGGCTGAAAAAAACAGGCTGGGTCCAATGGGGTCCAACCACCCCCCCCCCCAAAGTCTGCCCCTCCCCAGCCCAAGGATCCTCCACCGCCCGGAGTCATCCCCCAAAGCACCGGATTCAAAAGAAAAGGCCAGCGCAGCCAGAAACGCCTGACGGAAGGGGGTCCACTGGCCAGACCCAGAGGCTTCGGCAGGGAGATCGGACACGAATGCCTCCGTCGCCTCACCGGAAGGGGCGTCCCCCGAGACTGCCCGAGTCTCAAGACCATCTAAACCCTGCCCCGACTTCGAAACCCTCAGATGAAAAACAGATGAATGAAAAACAGCAGGCGAAGGACAAGGGGGCACGAACTGAACCAAGGCTGAAGCGACTATCACCCCCAAGTCTAGGTCCCTATAAGCAAAACGGGGCAGCCTCGGGGCATCCGGGTGAGCAACCAACCTAGCGCGTTGCAACAACCTAAAACGCACATGCAACGCCTGCGCCGCCAGTACTCGCATAAGATCATCATTACATCGGGTAAACCGAGTCACCAGCAAGCAACAAAACTCACAGGACTCGGGGTCGAAAGTGTCACTGACCCAACAAGCAGCATGACGGAGGCAAAAACCGTGAGTCACCTTGAGACAAGGGGACAGAGCAACCCTCGAACTCGCAGAAAGCGAGGGGGACTCCGGGGTCACATCCATCGGACTGGCGCACCCCCTTGGGGTTTCCCAGGGTCCTGAGACGGAACTCACGCTCAGGAAATCTCAGGCAGGGTACTGCTAACTAGCTACCAAGCAAAACTCTAAAGCTGAACCCCAGGGATGTGTACACTCACGGGGACCTAGCAGAGTTGTACCACCTTAGAGAAAACAGCACACAGGGCAGGTACAAGGGAGGCAACAACCAAGGCATACCCCCTTCCCCCCACCAAGCAACTGAACAAAAATAAAAATAAAACCCTGCAAGAGGACAGTGTCCTCTAGAAGAACAAAGCCGGTCGTTTCGAATGGTGAAAACAAGCTGCGCAGCACCCTGCGCCCTGCACTAGAGCAACCTGTTTCTTACCCTAAGGTAAACAAGGAAGACAAAACACCCAAGCACCCAAAGGGCGGCCAAAAAAACGAGCAGTAAAATAGCCCAGCAGAGGCAGGACCCAAGGAACTTGTGGAAGGTGGCCCAAAGCTCCAAGGGCAGTACTTACAGGGCACCTAGGGAAGGGAACCCTAGGCGCATGCAGCCCGAGTACTATAGAATAACTCCTGGCTCGCACACCCCTGGGAGACTGCCACCACACACAAGGCACAGTGCTGGAACAATCACTGGAACCAGAGCACATGACCTCTGCCTCTAGCATCAGCCTCAGAACTGAGAGGTGTATTGCCAGCGTGGAGGTCTGGGGTTCCCCCTTCCCCCTCCCGGGGAGGGGGGGGGGGAGCTGCGCAGACAGCGGCGTGGAGACGCGTGACGTCATACTCGTTTGCTTGTTTCTGTTTGAGGAGTTCTATCCACTTGTTCGGCTTTTTGTAGCAATTTTCACCAGAATAGGGATTTGTCTTGGGATGCTTACCTTTCTGGGTGCCTGACCTAGTAGATGGCAGACATAGAACGCTTCCAACCACACGGAGGTTTCTATAGGCCATTGCTTCCCAGAACCTAGTCCCTGAGGGGGGCCAGGTTCTGGCTCGTGGTCCCCGGTAGGCCCATAGAACTCCATACACATGACTAATGCCAAAGTCTGACATTCGCATATCAGCCTGGCCAGCTCCGGGGAGCCGTAGGGGCTCCTCCTAGAAAGTCTGTTGTATTTAAGCTAAACCCTTTATTTTTTATATTTTGTTTGCACCTCATGTCTGCATAATCATTCATCAGTCATATTTACAGTCCACATTCACACTCGGTTACAATCAATACTTGTTATTAGTCTAGGTACAGAACCATACAACAGCCTGGTTGATCAGTCCGGCAACCAGGTGGCCTGGTCGACGACCGGGCCGCGGGGACGCTAAGCCCCGGAAGCACCTCAAGGTAACCTCAAGGTAAGGTTACAAATCAGTATAATCAATTGCTAAATCACAGATTTCTAAACTGAATATACAATTTTGTATAGCTTGTGTCAATAAAGAATAAATCTTGCAAGACTATTTTATTATTCAGTAAAAATTACTTGTAAACCCTCAACATACCTTGTCATTGGATATACGATAACATATATTTCTTGCCGACTTTTGCATCTCTTGAAGCTTTTCCAAAACTTTTTTATCCAGCCACTGAGTCTTTCTCTTCATTATTAGGCTGTAAGCCGACTCTCCCTGAAATGAGCCAGAAGTTACGATGTTGCACTGTAATACACACGAGACAAATTTATTTATTTTATATATTTATTTATTATATATACAGGCGCTCCTACATTCTTGTAAAGCCACTAGCACGCATAACATTTTGGGCAGGTACTTAATCCTAATTTTTTCCTGGAATATGACCCGCCAAGTTGTTTAACAACTAGGTACCAATTCACTGCTGGGTGAGCAGAGGCTACAGTTAAGGATTGGCACCCAGTCACTCCTTCCCGGCCAGGATACGAACCCAGGCCAAAGCAATCGTGAAGTGCCGGGCGAGTGTTTTACCACTGCTGAATGGGGGACTGCAATGTGATAACAGGAAAGGCACTGGATTGGCTACGGGAATACTTGACCTACAGATAACAAAAGGTAATCGGAAATGTCAGGCAGGAATGAAATGGAAAGTAGTGTTCCATATGGCTCTGTCCTAGGACCATTACTCTTTCTAATTTATGTAAATGACCTTACAGATTGAGTGAACTGACACATGTCAATGTTTGTAAATAATGCAACGTTAACGAGGTGAGTAACAACTTACGAGGACTGCAGGATGCTGCAAGAAGACTTTAACAAACTTCAGGAGTGGACAGATAAATGTCCACTCCTTGGAATTCAATCCAAGTAAATGTAATGAAAATATTTAAGGGAGATATATGATCGGTATTTAACTACACTATACAGGAAAAGCAATTACAAGAAACAATAAGAGAAAAAGATCTGGGAGTAGACATAATCCCAACACTAACACCAGAAGTTCATGTGAACAGGATGACATCAGCAGCATCTTGAAGTTATCTTGAGATGATTTCAGGGCTTAGCGTCCCTGCGGCCCTGTCCTCGACCAGGCCTCCATTTTGTTACACATCCCCAGGAAGCAGCCCATAGCAGCTGTCTAACTCCCAGGTACCTATTTACTGCTAGGTAAGGCCAGGAGGCCTGGTCGACGACCGGGCCACAGGGACGCTAAGCCCCGGAAGCACCTCAAGGTAACCTCAAGGTAGGTGAAGAGGCATCAGGGTGAATGAAACTCTGCCCATTTGCTTCCGTCGGGGATCGAACCCAGAGCCTTAGGGCTATGAATCCTGAGTTCTGTCCACTCAGCCTTCAGGCCCCCTAAGGGCCTAAACATATGTTAAGTTGGCAAACATAAGAACATCATTTAAGAATCTAAACAAGGAGTCCTTCAAGTCCATACACACTGCCTATGTGAGACCATTACTTGAGTATGTAGCACCAGCATGGAACCCACACCCTGTGAAGCACAAAAAGAAACTTGAGAAAACTCCAAGATTTGCAACTAGATTATGTAGTACCATAATTCAGAGGGTTCACCTGTGAAGACAGATTGAGAGAATGCACCCTTGAATGCATCTTAGAAAAAGCAGGGGATATATGGCCACTACATATGTGACGAGATCCTGTGGGGAACAGACATATTAGACAAAGGAAGCCTACTTAAATTGAAAAGAGGTAGGACAAGGGGGAAATTGGTGGAAGATGGACATGCAATCGAGTCTTAAGAGATGCAAGGAAGTTCCCGTTCCCTGTACAGATGATTGGTAAGTGGAACACATTGAAGCAAGACGTTGTTGAAGCTAATTCCATCAATGACATTAGGAACAAATATGATGAAAACAATGTTGACATAATTAACAAACCAGATATAAAGGCTTAGAGGTGTGGTATAAAAAGCTAGATCTCACTCTCCTGTAGTCAGTGATAGGTAACCACGCAACATGGTTTGGCAATGGATTTGAAAACATACCTAACCTAACATACCAAACTGAAGCTAGCCTAAGCTAATACATCATAATCTAACAATATATACGTATACAGTTCTGATAATCAGAAAGTGAACTCTGGTGAACCGTCAAGTGTATGATTTGCTCCGAACAACTCACCTGAGAATTAGCAATGTCTACATTGGCCCCATGGTTGACTAATACACTGACAGCCATGTGGTTCTTTGCTATAACTGCCCAGTGCAGTGCCGTGTTCCCATGAAGACGATCAGCCATAGACGTACTTGCACCAAATGTTAATAGTAGCCGTGTGGGATCCAAGCTGTAGAAACAATGACAGTTTCATAATGTTTACACCCTGGCCCAACCCATATCCTAAATACAGTATTTCAATGCACCTACAATTCAGTACAACAAAAATTAAAACACACATAACAAAACAAATCATTGCTAATATATCACACAAAGGAGGGGTTCATTGCTCATACAGCAAACACCATCAGAACAGTAACACGAGTGGCCAGCAATTTGTAATTTTTAACAAACAGAAGCAGCTTTCAGCAATATTTACGAAACAATCTAACATTTTAACTCAACTGTCCAGTCAAGTCCCATCTCTGGCATAGGGATCCATACCAGATGTGTTATAGTGTAGAGATGTACATCTTCGTGTCACAACTAATGTTCCCAGGCTCAATTCCCAAGGGGGATAGAGACGGTGGGCAATGTTTTCTTTCATCTGATGCCTGTTCACCTAGTAGTAAATGTGTATTAGGAAGATAGGCTAGGTATGCATACCTGGAGAGGGTTCTGGGAGTTCTTCTACTCCCCGAGGCCAGCCTGAGGCCAGGCAGTGAATTTAACACTATCGGTCACCGGACAGGCGCACGGTAAACTTAGGGGTCATGCACCCGACGTGCGGGCGAGCGTGCGGATAAGCGCGCAGTGACACCTAAATGTGTATACTCGTTTCAGCTTTCTCACCTTAATTCTTGTGCTACATCGCTCGTTTTGGTATCATTGTGTTCGCAATTAAATTCCCTACAGGTGTGTATAAATATAATGTCCAAAAGCCTGGCGTGACTCCCAACAGCAAAGCCTAAAGTCAGCAAAAGTTACTCGTGAGCGCACAAAATCAGTAACATGCGCATACTTGTTCCATTTTTCTCACCTTAATTCTCGTGCTATGTCGCTCGTTTTGGTATCATTGTGTTCGCAATTAAATTCCCTACAGATGTGTATGAACATAATGTACAAAAGCCTGACGTGCCTCACCACAGAAAAGCCTAAAGTTACCCGTGAACGAGCACCAATTTGTACACTGCAGCCTAATGTGTATACTCATTCAGTTTGATAACATCAACTTTCGTGTTACATCTTTCATTTTGGTATCAAATTGTTCGCAATAAAAAGGCACGTATTTTAAAACTAGTCCCATAATAATAGAGCAATAACTGGAATTTTAACTAAATATTTTAATTCTGGAAGCTCATCATTACAAAATTATTTATATCTTTCCAGTGTTCTGACATAAATTTTTATGTTACATCTTTCATTTTGGTATCAAATTGTTCGCAACATAAAGGCGCACATTTTAAAACTAGTCCCAACATAATAGCACAATAAATAGAATTTTAACAAATATTTTAAAATTTTGACCAAAAACCTATTTATAATCATACATGTGTTCGGACATCAAGTTTCATGTTACATCTTTCATTTTGGTATCAAATTGTGCGCATTCAAAAGGCGCTTATGTTGATACTATCCCGAGGTTGATTGGATAAAAAATGAATTTTATACAAATATTTTTATAGTGGATGCAAGTCCGGTCCTCGGTTAGGACTCGGGACAAAAATAATGGACGAGAGTCCAGTTCAAAGTGACCGATAATGTTAAGATCCTCATATACTGGGTATATGGTAGTAATTTCCAGCATATTGTATTTATTCTCGTAAATATACATCAAATGATGGGTCGAGATTAATGTTTCACCAGTAAAATTTCCCAATAGTATGTGGGGAATATGAGGGTACGAAGAGTATTCAATCTCCTTAAACCAGTGTACTGTACACAGTGTGATATAATGGGATAAGGGGGGTGTGCACACCTACATATGTGCATTAGTACATTAGCCTCCAGTTAGTATCATCCATTTTGTAAAAAAAAATCCCAACAAGCCGAGTAATTACCAAAGTGTAGTTACAGGATGAAAGCTACACTCGTGGTGTCCCATCTTCCCAGCACTCTTTATCATATAACGCTTTCTACTGACGATTTTGGTTTCCACCATTTTCTCACCTAACTTGTTCCAACGGTCTACGACTCTGTTTGGGAAATTAAATTTTCTTATGTTTCTTCGGCAGCTTTGTTTCCCAAGATTGAATCTGTGTCCTCTTGTTCTTGAAGTTGCTTATTTCGGGAAATCCTGACAATTTGGTCGATTCCTGTTAGCACAGTATAACACTCGGTGACTTCTCTGGCTTTTTGCTGTAATATTATTTAAAAGTGTGCAATTTGTGGAATTTATATAGTTCAATTTGTTAACCACTGCTATGCTCAAAATAATGGGGCTCATGTGTGACATGCATATTATATTCTATGATCAATCAAACAGTGTTTTTGCTGTTATTACACTACTGTATAGGCACACATTGTATATACCTATCTACATGTTTGTACACCATAATCAACCACAAACATATGTGTGGAGAACAAATCCACAAGGGCCGTGACGAGGATTGGAACCTGCGTCCGGGAGCATCCCAGACACTGCCTTAATCGACTGAACTATGACAGGGTAAAAGAGTTGAAACCGAAGTTCTACTGAACTTACTGGAACCCGTAGCCTCTCCGAGGCACAAACCAGGATTTTACACAACTCCCTCTGCACCAGAAATGTGTGTAATGTTGTACATAATTATTTCAGTGTCTGTGAATGGTTTTATATCTAGCTTTTTGCAGTAATATTATTCAATAGTGTGTAATATATGGAGTGTATATAGTTAAATGTGTGGAACTTCGCCTTTCTAAAAAATATGGAGCTCAAATATCGTGACGTATATTATATTCTTAGATCAACCTGTGTTCCTGTGTTATTATGCAATATATGCATGATATATATCACTATCATGTATATATTGCATATATGCATGATACGCTTTCTCGAGTTTTGTTTCACCTCCGGCCTGCTCATGCGTCGCCTGCGTCATCCTGGTCCTTGATCAGGGTGCCTTCTTATCTTCTCCTCAGTTTGTGGTAGCCACTTTGGTTCAAGTTTCTGTTCTTTGGTACTGGTGGTAGGTTTGTACGTGTGCAGCCTTTCTCCGTCCTTCTGGAGACGGCTGCTTTCCGGAGGGGTCCTTAGGTTATTGATGCTTGATTGGTTCGGCCGGGGGTGCATCCTGTGTTGTCCGGTTGAGCTTTTTACCGTTACCTGCGTACCGTGTCTGGGGGATGCGCTTTGGGTTGATCCGGTTCACCTCGTTCCCTGTTTTAGGACTCGGGTCTTCCAGGTCGTCCGCAGAGTTTTTAAGTCTTCCAGCCTGCGGTCTAGCCTTGCGCCCGTGCTGTTCGGACGTTTGCAGCTTTTGCTGCTGGGTTGGTGACGTCTAAGGCTCATTTCGGGCGCGAGGATTTGAGGGTCGCACAGGTTCTTGGCCGCCCGTTCTTTATGCGCGTGCCTGCTCCTGTGCGTTCTTGTTGCCTTGGGTCGCAGGTTGCAGTCTGTTTGTTGTCTCGGCTTCGCGTTGCGGAGTTTGTGGTGTCCGCTTCCCAGGACAGCCCTTTCTTGTCTTTCTCTTTCGGTATGAAGCTCCAGGGAGCCGTAGGGGCTCCCCACAGAAAACCAGCGTTGAATGTAATGAAACGCCATTTTCTGGGTGAGCCCCGGAGGCTCCCTGGCAACCCTCCCTCCCACCGGTTGGTGTTTTTTTTGTGTTAGTTGAAGCTTAGCTTCCAAACTGATGCTAGGTAGCCAGCGCAGTGAGGTCCGGGGCTCCCCCCTCCCCCCTCTCGGGGCGGGGAGGGCTGCAGGATGATCAGGGTGGCAGTAAAGTGTGATGTTTGCTTGTTTCCTTAGGATTGTAGGGAGTTTCTACCTCTGTTTGGTTTTTGCTTTAGTTTTTTACCATGTGGGGTTTGTTTTGTTATGCCTACCTTACTGGGTGCCTAACCCCAGTCGATGGCAGATAAGGAAAACCCCAGCCACAGGGGGGTTTTCCAGGGCCATTGCTCCCTGAAACCTCTCTGAAGGGGCCAGGTTCTGGCGCTGGTCCCTGGTAGGTCTGAACTCCTTAGCTAATGTCCCGGTCTAATATAACATACATTAGCCCGATAAGCTCCAGGGAGCCTCCGGGGCTCACCCAGAAAATGGCGTTTAATTACATTCAATGCTGGTTTTCTGTGGGGAGCCACGTCGGCTCCCTGGCGCTAGATACCCAAAGATAAGTAAAAGAGGGACTTACCTGGGAGGTGGCAGCACTGCGTGACTCATGGTGAAGACGGAACTGGCTGTAACCGACAGCCCAAGGCCACTCAAGACCGTTGACAGCCCAGAATGCTCACAAAATAATGGGCATCCAGGACCCTGTTCGAACTCCAAAACCCCTGTGCCCGAATGTCAGCCCAAGACATGTTTCCAAAATCAGCAGCGAGAGCTGCAAACTTCCGAACATCATGGGCACGAGGGTAGACCACACACTGGCTAGACTTGATAACCCTGCGGATGACCTGAGAGACCTGAGCCCTGAAACAGGGAACAGGGGATATCGGTTCAACACAAAGCACGTCCCAGGACATATAAACCAAGGCGTGCAGGTAATGGCATAAAGCTGCAACTGGACACAAAACATAATGCACCCCCCGGCCTGACCAATCAAGCATCAATAACCCATGGGCCCCTCCGGAAGCCTGCCGTCTCATTCTTCGCCAGGAAAGGAGATGGCGGCAAACGAGCAAAACATCCACCAGGACCGAGAGAGCAGAAACCCCTGCGCTGGAGGAGAGCATGAAGCCACTGACCTGACCCCCAAAGGCCAAGGCCAACAAAAACAAAGCCTTTTGAAAACAATCTTGGACGAAAGGGACCACAACAAACCGAGGAGAAGAGAGAAAAGAGAGCACCAGATCCAAAAACCAGGACAGCGCAGGTGGCACGAGCAGGCCGGAGGTGGAAAACCGCACACGAAAGCTTACAGAACAGAGCCTATCCTTATACGAATTGACATCCACCCCGAACGCAATATGGAGTGACTGCCAGCGCCACACAATAAGAGGCAACAGTATTTGGCATAAGATGTCAGTCCTGAAAGAGCCAAGAAAGAAAAA